TTAAAACAATATGGAATACATACATTGACAAACGCTTGTTATCCCGACCATTCAACAATCCTTCGCATTATGTAACGTTTTCGCAGCAGCTATGGATGTCAGCCATAGACACTGACGAAATTCAGGGTGCAGTTTTGTACGCACGCTCATGAAAGGTTTAATTAATATTGTGCCATCATATATCAAAATAAAAATGCGTTTTTATCTATATGAAGGCTTTCTCGACGTGACGAGTGCGTAAACTTCGGTACTTTTGGTTTCGAACTGGTAATCCAGTTAAGGCCAACCACTCCTCCTTTTTTTTTTTTTTTGTGTGGTTTATGACAAAAACGTACGTTTCTTTCTTTATTTTTGTGCAAAGAGAAAACAGCAGTTTGATACTTTAGACCCAAGCTACGGACAAAAAAAGAAACAGGGCGCGGGATGGGTAAAAAACACGTTTTTCGTCAAATTACGAGGCACTGGAGAAATGCAGCCCTCTGCGTGAAGTCATTATTTCCAACTCTTTTTGTTCGCGTTCCGCCCATTAAAAAGCATGTGGGGAGGGCCCCAGCACGCACCTCGTATCGCTGCGCCGCAGTATTCTTCCATGACATGAAGTTCGTCTGCTTTAATCGTCGTCACCAAGGCAACGAACGCCGAATGAATGGAAGCACGCACGGCACCGCAGCTTGAAGCCAGCAACAGCTGACGCCATTTTACGAACGCAGTTTGTTAGCCAAAGCCGTACGCGGTGTGTCAGATCGGACGCCTACGCGAATGCGCCGCTGGCAACAACAACGAAGCTGAGACACGCCGACGGCGATTGAGCAACCCAGAGCACAGCGGGTCGACTGCAACAGGGGCATTTATTGGGATCAAACGCGCGAAATAAGCAAAAACTATTTTTTATTGAATCATAACGCGCGATATATCCAAGTTGGGGACCAGATACTTCTGGGGTCTATCCTGTGAACGTTTTACAGCAACACGGGGTGCCGCATTCAGGACACAGCTCCGTTTGCAAAATATGGGGGCCCTGAAAAGGGCCGTTTAGACCGCTACCAGAACATATAACTGACGTAACGAGCACTTGACGAGCGGTTGGTGCATAAGTCGTCTTTATGCACGCAGGCGGGCGACGGGCTCAGCGCAGCGGATCACCCGAAGTCACCGGGGCCGTCAGAATCCTCGTCCTCCGCACTATAGGGAAGGCCACTGTCTACGTCGCGGCTGTAGATTTTGGCGGCCGCGTGACGAATGACTGAAATCTATCGGTATTTCCGCGCGCCTTCTCTTTCCACTAAAACATGAACTTTGCAAGGTGACCAGTCAGGGTTGGGCAGTATCGCGATACAAATGTATCGCGATAGTATTTCAGAAATACATTTCGTATCTGTATTTCTGTATCGCGATACATTTTTTTCGCCATTATCTGTATTCCTGTATCGAAATACATTTGGAATGTTTCTTTATATCGCGATACAACCAGGATGAAATGTATTTCGTTACATTTCTTGAGAAATACTCCCCCCCCTCCCCCCCCCCCCCCCCCCTGAAAAAAGAAGAAACAGGTCCGAACGCATTTTTTTTTCTTTAGTTCTGAGGGTGCCAGAGTCAAGGAGATGCTGGGGCATTGTTACTATGCCGACCAAGGTTCCTTTTGATTCTGCAAACTATTTTCTTATGCGTCCTCTTCTCTCTTCTGAGAAGTGTTGGGTAGGTGGCGAGCCAGGAGTGGAGTCAGAGCATCTTCTGTCGCAGGTCCTTAGGTAGGGATTTCTTGAGTCATTGTTTGCTGGCATCCAATGCCCGCTGCTAACCGCCTCTCTCGCCTTGGCGTACATAGTACACCCAGCCGGCAAAGCTGAGTCACATTCCGTTGCAGCACCAGCGTGGCGGTGGTTGACTTGAAATAGTAGGAAAACTCACGCTGTGAAGTTCAACACATATTCCAATGCACCTGCGGCTGTGCCCGTAACATTGCACGGCTCAAGGGTACGTCATCAGCCGACGTGAACGTGACCTGTTGCTCTGGTGATCCGAAACCCAGGAGGAGGCCAGAAGTTGCCTCGCTGTGCCGACCCAGACTTCGTACACCTGCGACTCGTCTCGAGACCGCTGTTTCTCGGACAGCTCGCACCTGTGCCGGCAATATCAGCTCGCAATCCACAAGGTCTCTGTTTGAATAATGCTAGGCAAAACTTGAGGACTGCAATCCGTGCGTCGCTGGCGGAGGGTTGGTAGTAAGGACCTTCAGAACAGGGATGCTACCGTATCGTTTTTTCAACCACAACAGAAGATAAGACATGTATTCCAAGATGCTTCAGGTGGTCAACTATTCTCAAAAATTGCAAATGACACTGCATGCACGATCTTCAGCGGGGTAACCTACAACGTATTGTCCTTTCATACAGTAGCGTGGTAAAGTTTCATGTTCAAGGCCACCACCTACAGAAAAAGAATACTAGTTCATTCCACCATGACATCATGTGATCAATGTTGACAGGATTCCCCCGTCAGAGAGACAGGATGTCATGGAAGGGACCGCGGTCAGCCCTTGATGGAACGTTTTTTTTTTTTTTTTTTTTGGGGGGGGGGCCCATTGAAGACTCCTTGTCGTCCGAAACCACTACCTTCAAGGCAAAGTGCCAGGCCTCCAGGAAAGTAATTTCGGGATCGAAAACATGCACTTCAAACTTCAAGCTTCATCTCAGTTGGCGTCTTAAAAAATTTGGAAAATGTATTGCACTATCAGTATTTCTGTATTTGTATTTCTGCCCTCCCTAAAATGTATTCCTGTACTTGTATTTCCAAATACTTTTTGCCTCTTTTTAAAATGTATTTCCGATACGTATCGCGATACATTTTTGCAGATGTATCTTAGTATCAGTATTTTAGCTACTATTTTAATGTATCCCAGTATTTGTATTTCCAAATGCATTTTTGAGTATTTCTGCCCAACCCTGTGACCAGTGAAATGGTGCCTCTCGAGCCGTCCAGATGAAAGAGAGTTTTTGACGTGGGCCCAAGTGCCCTCCACCGTGTTGGTGTGCGCACCAGTGTTCGGGTCGACAAAGTGCAGCTTAAGGTTGGCGGTGAGGTGCGTAAAGCGAGCGTCATCTGCAAGCTTGCGATAGCCAGCCCAACAATCTGTGATTATTCTTTTTCCAGGGCGGACCCACTGGGCTATTAGCCCTTGGAGGGTTTTAGCGTCACGGTTCTCCACGGGAACAGGAAAGTAGCACCCCCTGCCACGCTCCACACCGCCGAAAACACACTGGCCAGGCCCCAAATACCCACGATAGTACTTTCGCCGCCCGTGCATACTCTCGTCTGTAGCTCTACAGTCACGCCTTCGCTGCCAATCATATCTGAATGCGTAAAGACGGCATTTACGACAACCTCTTGACAAAGGCTTGTCTAATCAGTTATTGTCTTACTTTCGACATCAGTCTCCCGGTGAATGACGGCGCACGGTAGGTTCTGGCATCCGGAGGATGATTTTGTTGGGAGAGCGTCATGGTGTAGGATGATCACCCGTCCCGCGCCTCGCGGGACTGTCCCGCATTGAGGGCTCGTGTCCCGCGTCCCGCAACAAATTCCCGAATCTTCAAAATTTCCCGCATTTCACACTGTCGTAAAATTCACTTTTGAACTCATGTTGCTGCCAAACAAAGGGTCACGAGGAAGCACGGGGGTCGCTGGTAATCGTGTGATTCGCAATGGTACACCATTTTCTAGCCAAGCATTGCGGGAAGCGATCCTCATTCTTGCAGGAGAATGATGCGCATGCGCCGTTCTGCCTCTCCCCATGATGGCAAAATATTGCGATCAAATATTGCTCGCCAAAAGTAGAAAAATAAACTATTGTAATTATTTGGCTTTTCCGATTTTGACAAAATTTCCGGGCGCAATGCGGATAACACTTTCGAAAGTAGAACGCCAATTATTTGTTAGACGTTCACAAACTATGAAACACTCGACACAATACGTTTCAGCTTTAGAATATACATTTTAAGCGACTTAAAAATTCGCCGAAAAATGCCTCATTATGAAAGATAGGCCCCAGGAGCCAAGTTCGGCACTTATTTCGCTTGAAATATATGTTCATATAACTTACTTTTAACCAATTCTAGGAGAAAAGTATGCGTGCACTAAACGTAAAAACTTTGACGGTGTAGATAGCTGCATTCTTTATTCCTCCGGCCTTCAAAGTTGCGTCATCACGCAGTTGGGAAAATCGTTGTTTCAACCTTCTCTCGAATGCGATTTTTCTCACGAATACAAGGAAGTATCTTGCAAAAGTAAGGTCTGTCCCATTGTGTCGACAAGTTTCGCAACATCCTACAAAACATTTAGTTAAATACAAAAAATAGGCATGACACCACCATCACCGTCCTTATATGAACACACCGTTTTTCTTTGTGCGTACTGTGGACCTTTCCCATAAGTAAGCGACTCCATATATTGCTAGTATCCGGCGGCGAGCGCAGCCATAATATACCGCGACTACGCGTGTAAGAACTTTCGTGCGAAGTCCAACCGCCGACTGTGGCACCGAGGCCGCTCCCACGGATGAAGTTACACGGAGACGGCCGTTACCAGGGGCCTCCACTACGGCCCAGCGTGCACCTCGCTGCGCCGTAACGCCTGTGTGGCAACAGAAGAACGGAACCTCAGCCTATGTGGCCACCCCCAATTGCACAAAGTATTAAACGTGCCTTTTAGCTTCTTTTTACCAATGTGCGTAACCTCTTTCAACCTTTCGATCTGAACCAAGACCAAAGAAAGATAACAGTGAATACTCTAAAGATCACGTCCTTGCGCACTATCCCGGGATCAAAACACGCTAGCTGTGCGTCAGAAACAGCAGTAAACATCTGCACAATATTCGTAGCAGATGTTGTTTTCTTGTCAGCGAACCTGATTTTATTTTAGAGACGATACAATATAAAGAAAGCAACCTCTGTTACCTTCTGCCCACTTTCGTTTTCCTCTGTCGTACCGAAAGATACATAATGTTACGCACATCGGTCGTATGCGCATTATGCATCCTTGTATATGGACAATCTACGAAGACGCCCATCGAAGATGATCCTGACTATGAAACATTCCAGCACGTGGTTGTTGTACGTTTTTAGTTCCTTTTACCGTTCATATATTTAACTGGATTATTCGGGATAATTTCATGCTTTTCACAACAGGGCCCTATTTTATGCTCCTTCAGCATTAGCCAAACAGAAGCGTGACTTGATGCAATGTGAGGCACTTCATCAGGCGCGGTTAGTTCGCCTTGAAAAACGTCAAAAGGTGGCCTTATATGCGCGATACTATGAGAGTGCAATACAAATTATATAATTATGAGATATTGTTTTCAAGATATTGTCGCTAAGACAATATCTTGAAATTTTAGGTTTTTGTATAGACGTAGCTAAAAATGTTTAGGTTGATTTACTATGGTAGCTGCAGGTATGGCGAATTAACCGGTGTTTGCCGCGTTATGTATTAAGCCGGGGTCACACTGCTTGTCCATCATACACGCGAGGCACTGCGAGATCCGTGCTTCGAATGGCGCGTGACAATATAGTTCAAAGAGGAAACTTGGGCACGCGGCATTCGAACCACGGACATTGCGGTGACTCGTGTCTGCAGACTGTTTTTCGTATGGTGTATGAGCAGTGTGAACCCGGCTTTAAGCGAACGACCCACACAGAACACAATTTTTTACGCGAATATAGGTGACACAAAATAGGCTATATTGTTAAATTTATCTGACATATCAAAACACTATTTACCAAATGGCAGATCACTAGGGTGACCAGACGTCCCGTTTTGGCCGGGACAGTCCCGTTTTCGAGGTCCGCTTCTGCCGCCCCTATTTTTGTCCCAATAAGAAATCATGTCCCGTTTTCGGGACATGATTTTTTGTTATATATGAGACCATAATTTTACAGCCCAATCTTGCAGGATAAAGTCCCACTTAGGAAACTTCAATCGACGACAAAATACGCTCACACCAACGAAGGAACCAAAGCAACCCCTTCCAAATGAGTGCATGCGACTGAATCATGAGTGGGACTGTTCCCTATAGGCCCTAGGGCTTATTGCAATACGGTAACGTTTTGAAATGGGAGCAGTTATTTCATTAAAGTTTTTATCCCAATCTCAATATTTGAAAAGCCCCTCAACGAGCCGAGCCCCCCCCCCCCCCCCCCCCCCCCCCCCCCCCGCCTTCCAACTGCCCGCTGGGATGTCCCGTTTTCTACCTTGAGGAATATGGTCACCCTACGGATCACGCATCTATATATATATAAGAGAATGAATAAATGGGCTCGTTGGTACATCACTGAATGGAAAGCGCCGAATAAGCAAGGACGAAGAAGAGGACAGAGACGAAGTTTCGTCGGGGACGCATCGACGGCGTGCATGCGAGCGCTCCCCATCCGCCGGGTGCTTTCATGGACACAGCTACGATGAGTGACACTGTGGGCCCTGGGATCGCCAAGAGCCAGCGTGCCGAAGAAGGATGGACGACGATCGTCCGGGGTAATATTAACCGCACCGTTAAAGAATTCATGGTGGCCCAAGCTGTGAAGACCGAAGTCGCAGTACCGAAGAAACAGGAAGGCGACGCTGCCTCGGCTCTCGCCGCCAAGGAGCGGCCCACCGCAGCCAAGCGACGCAAGGGTAAGAAGACGATCCCTCTTCCTCCTCTCCCCATCGGGTATACAGTCCCGTTCCGACCACGGGGACTCGACTTTGCTCAAGTTTCGGCAGCCGACGTCTTATCAGCAGTCGTTTCGCAGCTCAGCCTCTCGCCGCGTGATGTGTGCTCCCTCGGCAAGTTTCGCATCAATCCGCGCAGTAACACGACTGCGGTCAGCAGGCCGGACGAGGTCAGGCAGCTAGCCTATCCGCATATTCGGTCTTTGGTGATCAGTGGTAAGACGCACGAGGTCACGGCTGACTTGGCCACTCCAAGCGACTCGACGCGAATAGTCGTACCGAAGGCCCCCTCCTTCGATGGAACCGAGCATGCGTAAGACAACCTGCTCAACTGCATAGAGCAGAACCCGCAATGGCAGATACTTCAGCTCGACGCATGGGGAAGTCACGAGCGCTACTAGTTACCATACGAGGCAAGAGGACCCCGACATAGTTCTACTTTAATGGGTTCACTTTCTCCTGTTGGCCGTACAGAGATAGAAACGAGGCGTGCGTCAACTGTAGACGAACTGGTCATCGTGCCGATGTGTGTCCCAACACCCGTCGCAAAACGAAGATGGCCCGCACTGCGAGTGCCCGCCCCTGTGCGCCATCTCGTTCCGAAGCCCGGAAACGAGCTTTCGGTCTCCAATCTCAGGCCGATTTACCTAACGTCTTGCCTGGGCAAGTTTCTCGAGCACGTCATACTCAACAGACTCCAAGCCTACGTGGAAATCCGCGACCTTCTACCGCACACCTCGTTTGGTTTCCGAGCGCACCTCAGGACGTGTTCTAAAAACTCTCGGAGGACATCGTCGAGAAGAAGAGGGAAATGCAAGCCTTGCTGGCCCTCGACCTCCAGAAATCGTTTGACAACGTGAAGCACCAAGCCGTTCTTAGTCCGATTTTTCGCCTGCACCCCAGGATCCGCACCTTTGCATACGTGAAGTCCTTTCTCACAAGACGCACGGCAGAAATTCGGCTGGTTAGCTGGGAGAGCACGTCTCGCCGACCTTTCGAGCCTGCTTGGGACGAGGTACGCCCCAAGGGGCAGTGCTCTCGCCCGATCCTCTTCAACTTCGCAATGATGGACCTTCCAGAAAAGCTGGCCGTTATCCCCGGCCTACATCATTCACAATACGCAGATAACGTTACTCTTTGTACTGAGGGTCACGTATTACAAGTGCAATGCTCGCTACAGACGGCCGCTGATGTCGTAGTGGACCATGCCAGATCCGTCGGCCTCGAGTGCTCCCACACCAAGTCGGAATTTCGTGTGAAGAGGGGCTACCACGAGCGCATTTTCTGGGACGAAGTCCAAGTCCTGGTCGACGGCAATCGCACCTCTGAAAGCGACCTGGTAAGAGTTCTCGACATGCACCTCAGAAAGGATCCGTTAAAAATCAGACGCCATTCTTCGAATTGTAAAGACGGCCAAGAGCACGGCGCGTCTCATTATACTTCGTTTCAGCTTAGGTCCAGACGCAGCCAAAGCTACAAGTGCGAGCTCCGGGCTTTCAGCATCCCTGCCAAGCACGCGCGCTCGTGCAGTGCAAGCACTGTTCTGGGCCACATACTCGCGCTTGTAGCATCGGCTGCGTCTGGACCGAAACTGGAACGAAGTATAGACACATCGCCAACAGGCGAGGCAGGGTCAACGAGGGTAACGTTTGCCGCATAATGCACGCGTTCGTCGTCAGCCGCGTCCTCTACACAGTACTTTACATGCGACTCACGACCACCGACAAGAAGAACCTGGATTCCATCATAAGACAAGTTTACAAACTGGCCCTCAGACTCCCAGTGTCCACGTCTACGGACCGCCTCATGCAACTCGGTATACACAACACGGTGTCCGACCTCGTCGAGGCGCACCGGAGCTCTCAAATCGTGCGCCTCTCCAAGACGCCCACCGGGCGCGCCGTCCTGGACAGGCTGGGGATCGAGCCGGAACCTTTGCAACAGGCCCCGGTCGACCTTCCGAAGACGATTAGGAAAATGTTGGAAGTCCGCCCTTTACCGGAGAATATGCACCCTCAACATCATGAGGAGGATAGAAGGGTATCCACTCGGGCTAGTTGGTGATTCATAGTTCCGAGGGTAAAAGCGCTAAAAACAACGGGCAAGTGTTGCTCGTCTCTTTCACTTGTCCGCTGTTTTTTAGCACTTTTACCCTCGGAATCGTGGGGAGCGGAGAAAGAAGAGAGCTCAAGAAGCAGCATCGTAACAACTCCGGCGTCCGTCACGTGGACGCCGCAGAGTATCCGGGTGGCTCATCTCGTAACGCCAGTTGATCGCCCTAGTAGACAGCGGCGGCTCCACGGCCTCCCACGCCTCCGTGACCACCAAAGCCACTGCAGTGGCGGAAGAGGCGGCCTGATCCACGCGGGCCCCCTCTCAACGACGATCACCAGCGACTGCAAGACGACAGTCCGCATCTTCGCCAAAGGCAGGGTGGGCGCGGTAACAGAACGAATCCTTAAGGCCCGCCTCTGACCGCACCAGACACCGTCTGGTGTGGGTTCCCACTCACTCGACTCGCGAGGGGAAGAGAGACGGCAAACGCATCGGCTGCTCGAGCAACATCCTTCCGAAAGCCGACCGGTAATGTACCATGTTCCCTTAGCGGCCTCGACCAAGCGGAGTCCCACCACCTTTCGATGTCCAAGGACTGCCTGACGGTGTTTCAAGACATCTTGCAACACTACCGCTTAAAGCAGAGTGTATCCACCACCCGACAAAAGTATCTCCCAATTCCAGGCCCTGAGGTGGAGACAGCTGAAGACGAATACCATCCCCTGTTTGGCCCTCCTGCGGCATACCTATCCCACCGTCTTCGACGGGAGTTGCGCCCGCTGCCCGCCACCGGACCCCGCGAACGGGGGACTAGCCTGACTAAGGCCACCATGGCACACTTGTTTTGGGATTGTCCCTTCGACCCACCCTCACCTACTATGCGTGACTTCGTCGTTCACCTTCGAGAAGGAAAAAAGTACCCGCTTGATCCTACTTAAACCGTGCTTCTCCGAAGTTCGGACCCAGACATCCAAGCTGACGTGGTCTCCCGAGCGGTTAAGATCGCAACGGAAACCACGACGACCCCGCAAGAAGCGAACAAGCGTCCGGCGTCCGACCAGGCGTGAACATATGTGCACGTGCATCCCTTTCAGAACTGAGAAAAGCTGCCTCGCATGCATTCCTTTTTTTTTTTTTTAACACAACCTTAATTTGTTTTTTTTGTTTTTTTTTCAGGAAGCCGCGGTAGGTGAACGCCTATCCTGCGGCTCTCTGTTTTGGTATTCCCCAATAAAGTTGTTTCTCTCTCTCCATCTCTCTGCAAAGAACAGTCTGCCAATGGGCCGGAGTATATTTTTGTGTGTCGTTAGTGCAAACAAAAGTGTTAATGTGCTGTCTTTTTGTTTTGTTTTCTAGTTTCCTAATCCTGATGAAAAACTTTTTGTAAAATATGCTACATATCATCCTTTACCCGTGGCGGATTGCTTTTGGAACACTATCACATGCGAGAATGGCTCATATGCGCTTCACCTTTGGATGCGAATCAATGGAACAGCGTAATGCCCACTTTATTACTCTTAAAATCACCGATCACTTAAAAACAGTACATGACCAGTTGTCACAGCTTCCGTCGCTTCCCGCGATTGGCTCCTCATAAAACGCACTTGGTGATGTTGACATCCTACAGGCTGCTAACATGTAGCGAGATAATTGCGACTGGTCACGTCCAGACGTTTTTAGGTTGTCAGTGACATAGAAGGGCCTACCGATGCTGATATATCTCAGGTCTGCTTATAAATGCTCTTGTATTGCGCAGCCGTAAATTTGACTCACCACTCCGGTTTGAAACCAGCAAAGGACGCTCCAAGCCGAACATAATCTTGCATAAACTCCTGCCAAGTATGTATCTATTTACGCATATTATATTCACATGGGAAACATCGTCTCCCCTGATAATGATCGCTATCACAGGTTGCCAAGGCACCCCGCGGTCGCTAAGATTGCAGTTGCACTGAAAGTACGTGGCCAATGCCCTGCCTGATTCTGTTTTATCATTTGGTGGTCATATGTAAACCTATTTTCCCGCATGCCTTTGAAACTATTCCACGAAGCTCTTCATAGTGGGCTTCTTCGATATTACTCAACTGTTGCAACTATTCAGAAAAGGAGATAGTGCGGCCTAGTCTCACGGTCTCTGTTGGAGGACTAAGCGTCTAAAATAAAAAAATGGTATGACAGAGAAAAAAAGGCTTTTTTGCCGACGTCCTCACAAAGCATGTGAAAAGCCAACAAATTCATCTTACCAATCAAGCTTTTGACAATTTTTACAATTTTTTTTTTTAGGGTTGATAATAAAGTATTTTTCAGGCCTTCAGCGATGCTGTTATCGACCTCTTTCGAAGTTCGCGTGCCGACCCCTGTACAATGGCGAACAACTGATATCGTAGAACGTGCAAGTCATTCCATAAGATAGCGAACGCCGGAGGGCGGCCAACGCTAGGAGCCGACGAGCCAATCATATAGCGCCGAAAGCGCTATATGATTGGCTCGCTGCGATCATTACCTTTTTTTTTTTATTTGTGGGGGTGGGAGTGTGTTTTTGCCTTCTAGACCAAACAAAGGCATAAAATTTGCTGTGACGTGGCGGTTTTTGTCCGCCATTGTGCAGGGCGTTCACAGCTGCCAACAGACGACAGTATTTCGAAAGGGGTTCATATTGTAATTGTTTTCGATGCTCTGCGAATTTAAACAGTACACATGTTTTGCACCTACGACACATTATGTCGAACGCCGGCAATCACCATGCATGGTGGTGGAGTGGACGGCCGTTCGCAACGAGAGCCATGGTAAATTCCGCCGCGCTCGGCTGTAGCAACACTACCCCCTGTTGGCAGCTCTTCGATCCCTGCACCATGACGGACCAAAATCGTAACGTCACGGCAGTTTATGCGTGTAGTTAGAGTCAAAAGCAAACACACACCCCCCCCCAAAAAAAAAAAGTGATAAGAGCAGTGACGTTGCAGTTTCGGCGCTGTTTGATTGGCTCGTCGGCTCGTATCGTTGGTGACGCTTCGGCCTTCCCTGTACTTTATGACCCATGGGATAACTTGCACGTTCTCGGTGCCAGTTGTTCCGCCATTGTGCAGCGGAATAATCCGCACGTGGCTTTCGAAACGGGTCTGTTGCTAGGGGTCCGAATGATCGATTCATTGGCATGCCTCTCGACAGAGTATCTGTCAAGTTAGAGAAAGAATGCGTGGCACGGAAGAGAGGCGGCCGCACATTGTTGACTTTGCGGGACGCATTTCGTAGCGGCAAGGGACGGCACTTTTCAAAAGTTGTCTATGACAGGAAACGCTTTTGCATCGGTTTTGTCCTTGCTTAGCCCGTTCTTCCGTAATCTATATTCCCCTTGCTTTTTTTTTTTTTTTTTTCATCACGTTGTTTCCATGCTTTGAGCGCACCTTCGGGGCGTCCTTTGTGAGTACGGGCGAGTAGTCCCACCGCGAGCCCGTCCGGGCGGCGATTGGTCGGCGGCGGCTCCCGAGTGCAGGCTCGTCGAGACGCCGCCGCCGGGGCATCGGGTTGTGCTATCCGCCACACGATACACTAGCGCTGTTTACCAGTACTTCGCGAAGTCGTGACAACTGTACTACGAGCGGCTTTTAGAGCCCCTCGTTAAATAATCTTGGGACGCGTAACGAAGCTTGTTTTGCCAACACGACAGCCCTTCGCGTCAAAACTTCGTCGGCGGCATGCTGAAAGTTACTGGTTGTAGCGCAATCACACAAACGCCCCTAACATTTTGTACGTACTGGCTGAACGTAGTCATCGTAAACTCGAAACATTTCTTTCAAATTCGCATGTCAAAAAACTAGGTGCCTTTGACGAAAATGCTTGGCATGTCAACGATTTTCCGAGCGGTCATTCTACGCCTAAGAGCATCCGCGCGGTGTGAAGTCAACCACGGTGCGGAGCCCCGCCCTTCCCTAGTGTGACGTCACGTGCGTGTCATATATTGAACACTTTATAATCATTAAATTAATTTATTAGGTGCAATTGAAGTTTTTAACTTAGTGCGTCTTAATAAAGCGAAGACAAATACATAATTTGTCTACTGGGTTATTCTTGTTTTGTGTCGCAATTCAATGTCCCAATGACCTATTGCAGATGACACTGAACTTTCCAAATTCCCCTTAATGTATTTAGACGAGACACAAGTGTGTTTCGTTGTTCGAGTTCCAAAAATCAACAACGGTGAGTACAATCAGTATTGAGTAAAGTTGAACAGCTGTTAGAATGCGCGTTGGTTGCTTGGGACTGAGTAATAAAGGAAGTACTAATAATCGATTCGGTTGCTATCTTTTCAAAAGTCGTAGTCAAAACAAATAGCGCATTTTCATTGCGCGAATTTCGCACGCTTCAAGTGTAATCCTCGATTACACTACAGCTCCTTCAAATCAAACGCGACATAACAAAATAAATGTCTCTATTTAAGTTTTGTCATTAAACACGAGGACGCGACATTTTCTAATACCACCCTTTAGTCAATAAAAAGAGTTTGCAATTCATTCGCGAGCTAGAGTTAATATAAGAAACCATGTAATATTAGAGTTTAATCTTCACAAACTTTTCACGGTGCAGTCTGACACTGGCATTAAAATAAAAATTTGAAAAGAGCATTATTTTCGTGTTTGTAACCAAGCGTTTAATCTCTAGATTTTGATAATGATGTCTTGAAGCCATGTTTCGTCAACTGTTTAAAAAAAATTTATATGAGGTTGTTAGTGGGATTTTTAATAAACTCACTATTTTGTTTCGAAATAGGTTGAGTTCAGTCAGTGTTACAACTACGCGCCTGTGTTTTCTTCTCGTCGTCATTTGTATTGGCTGTTAACGTAGTATAATTTCTTGGAATTGTTTTGTCGCTTATTCTTTGATCTAATGTTTTAGTTATGGCATACACACTGTGCCTCGTCTATAAGGTGTTTGCATGAAATTTATTTCGGTGTGGCCACAGTGACTTTAACCGACGAACATTGTTAGTTGACAAAGCAAACATTAAAACCTATACCAGACGCCATAATAGAGAGCTAGGCACTTATTTAAACATCGGTCGTAGCCTATTTTAGAACATAATGACTCTTGAGTTCTGTGAAGTTTCAAAATAAAAAGTTTTGTTCCAGTCGATTTTGATGTTTCGGCTTCAATATTATTTCTAAAAACACATTCTCTATTTTTACAGGTTGTGTTTTATTTATTCGAGAACAAAATGCAACTTGCGAAAAATGCCATCAAAATTGTGAAACTATTTACGAAGAAAACTGTAATGTGACTTTGGCAAAATCTCCATATAAAAGCACCTGTCACAAAGAACGTCCTCTTCAGTGTTGAAACTGCTCTGTATATATTACTTGGAGTCTGCATGTGTCTGTACGCAGTAATAAAGAAATAAAATTAAAAGTTTGAGTCATTTATATATTATAGAAGTAACCCCTGTATTCCCGATCTAAAATAAGCGTTTTCTTTGTCTTTGAGCGCTACCTACAAACCAACCAAGGCCCCGCCATGCAAACCGAACCCCTGCCCACATCTCTCGCGCGAGGAAATGCAGTCACTGGTGGCTTTATGAATGTAATATTTAATTTTGAAGTGATAGTCTGCACATATTCAAATACACAAGTGGTGGGAAAACTTTGTAAGTTTGAAATCTTTTTTTTTTTAAGCTACATTTCTCATTTGCATATATTTTGCAGTAATTTATTGAAGGGCTTTATAACGAATAATGCTAGAGTTGTAATAATGAGTTCGTGTGACCATTTTAGAGCCTCAATCTTTGATGTGTACGTTTTAAATCTCAGTATTGCAGGGCACTTGCAAACGGACACCTTACTTCCTAATATTTTATTTTAGATATCTTGCCAGTTGCTCTTTATTGCTCGTACTCTTTATCGCTCGCACCATATAAATAATATACTGCTGACCAGCATGATATTTATGTACGATGCATTCTGAAACGCACACCTGAGGGAATTCAGACATATCTTATGAAGAACATCTAACGTCCACCATAACATAGCTGCCTTTCTTGCCCGTATTATGTCTTTGATGCCAAGTTTAGAGTAGAAAAAAGTACGAACTTTCTTCTGAATGATTGTCCCCTTTTTCCTGTCATCTGTTTAAAAGGAAGCTGAAATGGCCCTTGCAAAAAACGAAAACAAGTTAGAGGTGAATTTCAGAGTATTTGTTTTCCGTGAATCTGAAGATAACGTTTTCCCCGAAGATGTTATGTAACGCCAGAAAACACGAAAAACCTTCAACCAGTCGTTACGTTATAGGGGTGTTGGACAAAATACTCGATAAAAGAATTTAAGTTAAGTTACTAAATACCAGGGTTGTGCAGAAATACTCAAAAATGTATTTGGAAATACAAATACTGGGATACATTAAAATAGTAGCTAAAATACCGATACTAAGATACATCTGCAAAAATGTATCGCGATACGTATCGGAAATACATTTTAAAAAGAGGCAAAAAGTATTTGGAAATACAAATACAGGAATACATTTTAGGGAGGGCAGAAATACAAATACAGAAATACTGATAGTGCAATACATTTTCCAAATTTTTTGAGACGCCAACTGAGATGAAGCTTGAAGTTTGAAGTGCATGTTTTCGATCCCGAAATTACTTTCCTGGAGGCCTGGCACTTTGCCTTGAAGGTAGTGGTTTCGGACGACAAGGAGTCTTCAATGGGCCCCAAAAAAAAACGTTCCATCAAGTGCTGGCCGCGGTCACTTCCATGACATCCTGTCTCTCTGACGGGGGAATCCTGTCAACATATGATCACATGATATCACGGTGAAATGAACTAGTATTCTTTTTCTGTAGGTGGTGTCCTTAACATGAAACTTTACCACGCTACTGTATGAAAGGACAATACGTTGTAGGTTACCCCGCTGAAGATCGTGCATGCAGTGTCATTTGCAATTTTTGAGAATAGTTGACCACCTGAAGCATCTTGGAATACATGTCTTATTTTTTGTTGTGGTTGAAAAAACGATACGGTGGCATCCCTGTTCTGAAGGTCCTTACTACCAGCCCTCCGCCAGCGACGCACGGATTGCAGTCCTCAAGTTTTGCCTAGCATTATTCGAACAGAGACCTTGTGGATTGCGAGCTGATATTGCCGGCACAGGTGCGAGCTGTCCGAGAAACAGCGGTCTCGAGACGAGTCGCAGGTGTACGAAGTCTGGGTCGGCACAGCGAGGCAACTTCTGGCCTCCTCCTGGGTTTCGGATCACCAGAGCAACAGGTCACGTTCACGTCGGCTGATGACGTACCCTTGAGCCGTGCAATGTTACGGGCACAGCCGCAGGTGCATTGGAATATGTGTTGAACTTCACAGCGTGAGTTTTCCTACTATTTCAAGTCAACCACCGCCACGCTGGTGCTGCAACGGAATGTGACTCAGCTTTGCCGGCTGGGTGTACTATGTACGCCAAGGCGAGAGAGGCGGTTAGCAGCGGGCATTGGATGCCAGCAAACAATGACTCAAGAAATCCCTACCTAAGGACCTGCGACAGAAGATGCTCTGACTCCACTCCTGGCTCGCCACCTACGCAACACTTCTCGGAAGAGAGAAGAGGACGCATAAGAAAATAGTTTGCAGAATCAAAAGGAACCTTGGTCGGCATAGTAACAATGCCCCAGCATCTCCTTGACTCTGGTACACTCAGAACTAAAAAAAAAAATAAAATGCGTTCGGACCTGTTTCTTCTTTTTTCAGGGGGGGGGGGGGGGGGAGAAGGGGGGGGGAGTATTTCTCAAGAGATGTAACGAAATAGATTTCATCCTGATTGTATCGCGATACAAAGAAACATTCCAAATGTATTTCGATACAGGAATACAGATACTGGCGAAAAAAATGTATCGCGATACAGAAATACAGATACGAAATGTATTTCTGAAATACTATCGCGATACATTTGTATCGCGATACTGCCCAACCCTGCTAAATACCTGCTTCATAAAGCATTTAAAATACTACTAAAGTTACTTTCACTGCAAAGTATCTGGGGTAGAGTAAAAATACTTCGATATGTAATTCAATTGCTTTTGAAGCTACTTCCGCATTGCGTAAATTGTATCGACGTCTGTGACAAACAGAATTATACAGTTACGCAAATTTTGTTTACCAAAATGGTTTATTAGCACGCAGCAACACAAAACGAAAAAACAAAAAGCATTCGTCGAGCACTTTAGGACGCGGACGCCGGCGTCCGGCGCTTGGCTCTCGCGTTCGACGAGTGCAGTGGAGGCAAAGGTAGCCAGCTTTCGGTCTACCCACTATTCCCTCCGATCAGAGCTCGGCGTTCTGACGTCCCGGCTCGCTCTTGTCTCCTCCTCTCCCCCAGTTTCTCGGCGCATAGGAATGCCGAAGAACGAATCACTAAGCTAGAAGAATAAAATTTTTAAGCCACACCCTCGATTTCCTAAGTTGCCAGCGACTTTACCTGCCAAACTGTTGGGGGTGTTGTAAGCTTGATCTCAGTCGTAACTAAGATAACATGAATTGATGTTCTCAAGATGAAAGCGAGAAAAGAAAACATAGACACTGCCACCTCTGGGACTTTTTAAAAACGCGCTGCTTCAACTGTATAACTTCCCCAAGCCGCAAAGGTTGCCCAAGCGAAGCGGTCTGTCCCCAGATGTGTTTGCCAGGTGTTTTGCGGGGCTGCAATGCCGCGCATTGACCTTTACCCGAACCGGATATCGCTTCCTTGTGCTGACCTTTTTCTCTGCCGACTGAACTTTCTTCGACAGCGTGTTCTTGTGTGCAGCTGCGTGATTAGAACATCGTACACGCCGTCAGCGATCACATTTTATCCGGATCCGAATTAAACTATCATTCGCCAAATAAAAAAAAGAGAGCTGCGGTATGCACAAGCGCGTAGCAAAATGCCGGAACAGCGCTACGACGATGCCACCATTTAAATGTTTACTCATCAACGCAGCAGCGAAAATAAAAAAAAAAGAAACAAAACACAAAGAAGAAGGATGATCAACTCAGGAGCACTTAGGTGACTGCAGCATTCGCATTTCTATCCATTTTAGTTTATGTCAAGCACAGTCTAGAAGATGTAGGAGCTTTTTTCTAAAACAAGTTGCGTTTGAAATCTTATACCCGTGCCACACGGGCAACTCGAATGTCATTTACAACGAATGACCTTGCAACGGTCCGCCAATCAGCGCGCGACACTCCGAGCGTGGGGCGTTCCACGCGCGACAAATCGCGAGCCCTTCGTCGATCACACGAATGTTATTCGTTGTAAATGGCATTCGACTTGCCCCCGTGGCATGGGAATTAAAGACCGAAAAAAATGGCCTAGTAGACAGTATCATAGCCTTCTATATACTTACAAAGCCTGGCAGAACGCCACGAGAAGCGGCCGCTGAAATGGAAAAGGTGGCAGACAACGGATAGAGGAGAGCCACGTGACTGGCGCCCCGCTGCGGCGAGACGCCGAAACACACTCCTCCTGAGCGGACATTTGTGTTTCGGGTCCTCGCCGCTGCAAAAGCTGTGCGCTGATGTCCAGGTTACTCGAGAAATGGCTCTTTGATGCTCTGTGCTACCAGATCATCGCGCTCCAAATTTGCGACCGGGCACTCTATGGCTCCGCCGTCGAATTGCCAGACTTTTTTAGTATAGAGGAGGCTATGACACTATAATAATATCGAACAATGAACTACTTCATAATCTGCTTATTTTTCACTAGAAATAAAAAGGCGTGCTAGGAAACCTGACATTTGGAAGAAGGAGTTTATATTACCGAGTGTTGTTTCATTAGATAAGGATCTAACTTGCGCGTGTGTGTGTGTTTTTGCCTTGAAGATAAAATATTAGAAAGAACACGTTATTATGCGAGAAGTGACGTCAAACCACGTGGCCTCTCTTGAAAAGAATAGGACACAGCTGGTCAAACTTCTATGCGGACGTTATGTTACTGTTGTCGGATAAGTTCAGGAGACCATAGAAGATAAATGAGGCAGCGTTGGCTATCATCTGATACAATATTTTTGTATTGTATTGAAAAGCAAAAAAGAAATGTTTCCTGTATGCGCAACGCGCATCCTTGTTTGCGTATGCGGACATTAACCTACGGAGAAGATACCCATCGAAAACGATTCCGTATTTGCGAAATACCAGCATGCACGCGAGGTAAGTTTTCAGTTCGATCAATATTTAGCTTCAATGTGCCACACGTGTCTAAAAATGCGTCTCAGAATTCCAAAGCGGCAAACCAATTTGCACTTCTCGATCGTTCTATCAAAATTGCGGAAAGAAGAGGCCATGCAATATTTCACTTAATCGCCCCCCCCCTTTCTA